TTTTCCTAATAAATTAATTTGTGCTCATTTATAAACATGTAGAAAATGCAGAAAATATAGCATAAACATGTAAATATAAATATTCCACCATCCTGCCACTTAGAAATAACTGCTATTATTTTTATGTACTTAAATCTTTTTTAACACAATATAAAGGTGCATGTATCTGTGTGTATTCATGGGTGTGTGTATCTGTGTGTGTGTATATGTGTGTGTGTGTGTGTGTGTGTGTGCGTGTGTGTTTTGCAAATTGGGTTTTATACTTGCTGTTACATTTTAATCTAGAATTTTCAAATAAATATTATGTGAGGATCATCTCTCATACAATTAAACATGTCCAGAAATGTGATCTTTTTAATGGCTTTTATAGTGGCTACTAGAGGCCCAGTGCACAAATTTCGTGCACTGAGGGGTGGTCTCACAGCCTGACCTGTGCCCTCTTGGGGGATGTCCGACTGGAAGTTGGACATTCTTAGCACTGCCATGGAAGCGGGAGAGGCTCCCACCACTGCTGCTGTGCTTGCCAGCCGTGAGCCCCACTCAGGGCTTCTGGCTGAGCAGCACACCCCCTGCGGGAGCGCACTGACCACCAAGGGGCAGCTCCTGCATTGAGCATCTGCTCCCTGGTGGCCAGTGTGCCTCATAGAGACTGGATGTTCTGCCGTTCAGTCGATTTGCATATTAGCCTTTTATTATATAGGATAGTTTTGGGCTATTTAGCACCTCATCCCTTCACTGCTCTTTCTTTCTGGAAAAAACTCTATGTAGGCCAACAAGCATCCCATTGTCCTGGGCATAGTGATGGTCCAGCAATGGGTATGGGACTCCCACTGGGTGAATTAGAGTCCTTCTCCATGATTCTTCTAACTGCAACAGACAAGGATTAGCTATCTCTTCTGTTGGGTCACCAGATTATAAGAATGAGAGTCTAAGGATGCTGATGGTCATCAGTTCCACTCCTTAGAGCAGTGGTCCTCAAACTATGGCCCACGGGCCGCATGCAAATACAAATATTGTATTTGTTCCCGTTTTGTTTTTTTACTTCAAAATAAGATATGTGCAGTGTGCATAGGAATTTGTTCATAGTTTTTTTTTAAACTATAGTCCGGCCCTCCAACGGTCTGAGGGACAGTGAACTGGCCCCCTGTTTAAAAAGTTTGAGGACCCCTGCCTTAGAGAGACAAAGCCTGAGAGAATGAGGACAACAAATAGAAAAAAATACAGATGTTAGATAGAGTCTTAATAGTGTTCAAACCTCTCATTGTAGGCAGCCCTGGGGCCAGCACCATCTTTACCCTTCCTATAGTTTCCCTTAGTGAAACAATGAGTTATCTTTTTGTTTAAGCTAATTTGAGTTTTATTTCTGTTACTTGCAACTAAAAATCCTGCCAAAACACAGAGGCCTAATATTTTGCAGCTAAATAATAATTTGTTTAACCATTTTCCTATTGAATGTGAAGTTATTGTCTATTTTTTTTAAAACCATTATAAGTGAGGTAGACATGAACACCCTTATACAAAAATGTTACATTTATCTCTTTTAGCTATTTCCCATGAACAGGTTCGTAGAAGTACAATTATAGGGTGAGAGCATAGGAACTCTTTTAAGACTCTTAGCACATCTCATTAAATTGTTTTCGTGAATTAGCTTATCAACTTATATTTCTATCAGCAATATCTTCATTTTCATTTCATTATACCCTTATCAACAATGATTGTTGCCATTTTTTAACCTGTGCTAATGTGATAGGCATAAAATCTGTCATTTTGGAAAACCAAGATGGCGACATAGGTAAACGCCGGAAATTGCTGCCTCCCACAACAACTTCAAAAATACAATGAAACGACAAAACGGACATCATCCAGAACTACAGGAAGGCTGGCTGAGTGGAAAATCTGTCATTTTATTTGATAATTCTTAGATGACTAAAAACTTAAAACCTTTAAAGATGGGTGTTAGCTGTTGCTTCCTCCTTCTACAAATTGTTCATAATTCTTCACCTAATTGTTTTTTGGGAGATTGGGGGGTTTGCTGTCCACTTGGCCTGAAATACTCTTTTCCAAAATATAATCTGCTCAGTTTTCTCCCCTCCTTCAAGTTCAGAAACATCACTTCTCATGAGATGTTCCCGACCACCTCACTTACAATCACAGTACCCCTGTCCCCTGCCACTTCCGTTCTGCTGCTATGATTTATTTTCTCCATATTATTTACCTTTACTAATCTTTATTCTAACATTGTGCTCTGTTCTCTCTCTCTTTCTTTCTCTCTCTCTTCCCCCCCAACTCCTCTAGAATATAAACTACACCATGCAGGGACTGGTTTATGTATATCCAGCATCTAGAATAGCATTTGACACATACTGAGTAATCTATAAATGGATGTTAAAGGAATTGAGATCA